GCAGAGGAAGTCCTTTTTATTTCAGCAGGTCTTCAATGACCGGTAGCTGGGGGAGAAAGGACAGACCTTTTGGAATATCCTGTACTGTTTATTTGTTGTTTTCTTTTTAACAGTCATGTTTTTAAAGCTTTTAATTCTATTATTTGGCCCTATACTGGCTGAAAGGCAGGATATAAATTACACAAATAAATAAACTAACACATATATAACTATTGGCTTGTTACCACAAGGTTCAGCCCCTCGGAGCCCTCCTATTTCTCAGTATAAAGTTCACCCCCAGTGCAGGAAACTAACCATGCCATATAAGAAGATCCATGACCACATAAGGAGATCCGACTGGCTTAGCATGGGGGGAGCTCAAGATCACATGGCTTGGATAGATCAGTCAAGGTCAGAATCTGCATAATCCCTTAATTGATATGAGTAATGCAGGGTGATAGATCTGGTGTTTACAAGTGAATAAAAATAAAAGAATACTTCCCTCTGGAAGCAAAACCCCATTGTCCAGAGACATCTGCATTGATTGTACAGCCCTTCACAAATTCCCTTCTTTTCTCTTGGAAACTTTATTTTAATCCCAAAATCTGCTTCAAGATATGTTTTGCTTGCTCAGGCACCCCCAATTCAGTTTCACTTGAGTTCGGACAGACACTCTCTCAGTATCTCGCTTGACTACTCAGCATTGCTGGTAGCTGTTGAGCCATTTCATTTCTCAGTGTCCCCCAACCGGAGCCTCACTTCTGGAATTGTACAGTTATACCATTAGTTCTTGGATGTGTGCATGAGTGAGTGTCTTTGTGTCAATGATGATCTCCCTTGATTTGCAAATAAAACTGTTTTGGACTTGTATTCTGGAGTTCTGTTTCTTGGAACCAGTATACACAGGCTTGATCCCTGCTTTGAGTTGCCCAAGCCCTCTTGGCTGCTGTAATAAAATTCCCCTATTAAATACTGTTTGTGGGTCTCCTTTCAGTACCCTGGCATTTTGGATAACAGGTTGACATTCTGCTAGGAAATTGTAATTTGACTTATGATCATATAAAGTTGAATTGTACCATTATGCAATGTTTGTATTCTGAGGAGGAGAGGAGAGATGAAGCTATGCCATCTGGACTACTGTACAAGTGGAGCCAGCAATGGAGCCATTGTGCAATGGTTTATGATGCATTATGTCTCAATGTGCAATGGTCCCAATGTGCAACAGCCATAATGTGAAACATATCCCAAAGCACATCTTGCATGGTGCCCTGTTGTGCATCAGTACAATTCATTAACATGGTCGCACAGACATAGCTCTATCATCAGAAAGTTATGCAACACAGCCTCTGAAGCAAGATCGTAATCATTATATGTTTAATCATATTTTTGAATATTTGTATGATGTGAATTTTAGAGCTGTATCTGTTTTAAATGTCGTAGGTAGACAAATATGCTAAACGCACCAGATCCCAGTTGCTAGTTATGACCTCTAAAGCCCTTATGTCTCAGGTCCAGGCTAGTTTAAGAATGGTATCTTCCTACCAAGGGCCTAAATATCCCAAAGGCACCACCAGATCCTGGCTGATCTTGAAAGTTAAGCATGATCAGTGTGGTTAGTACTGCTTAGGAATTCCAGGTGCTATAGGTTATAGTTCAGAGGAAGGAACTGGCAAAATCATCTCTGAGTATTGCTTGCTTATTTTGTTTATTTATTTTATATGCTGCCTTTCTCCCAGAAAGGGACCCAAGGCAGCTCACAAACAAAACTAATTTTAAAAACCTAACAATAAAAAGTTAAGAGCAGAAAATCCAGTCAAATTCATGGGGTCACTATAAGTCCATAGGCTGATTTAAGGAATAATAATAATAGGAAGGAAAAGGAGGTTCAAAAATACTAAGGTAACTAAAAGATAAAGAGAGCCTTAACAACATTTTTAGACAGTGCAGAAGTAAAGCATTAGGTTGAGCGGGTTTAAAATGCCTGGAAGGAAAGAAATGCAAAACTGAGCCATTCTTTCCCACAACCAGAATGGTTGCCTTAAATCAGACGTATAATGCAAAGTTGTGAAAGGAACCGAAACACGATTAAAGAGTGACATATGCCTAATAAGAATGAGAAACACTGAAATGTCAAAGCCAAGCAATGCCACTTTAATCTATTTCTTCCCCATAAATCAGTTGAGAATTATTGATATTTTATGTGCTTGCCTTTGAAGCTAACATCCGTGCAGGTAATATTTTGTGCTGACGGCAGGGAAAGAGATTGAAAAAGAAATTACATACTCGGATTGAATCAAAGAACAGCACCTACAGGCATACACTCCACAGCTGGGGAGGATTTGGATATTGCTGGACTTCATTTCCCAGAAGCCTTGACCATCAGACATCTTGATCAGGTCTTCTGGAAGTCATAGTCCAACAACATCTGGAGCTACCCTACTTAAGAAATACTATCTATAGCAGGAAAGGTCTGTGACATAAAAAGTAATATCAAGGAAACTGGGAAGGAATGTAGCTTGCACACTATTCATGCATGTGGAAACAGTGCACTAGATACATAAAGGAACCCTTTGAGTCAATGTGTTGAGTGCAAATGTGAAAAGGAGAGCTTAGTTGTACACCTAAGCACAACCACACATAGGTACTCTTTCAAGTATGGGAATCTGTCTCATATTGAATTGGAATATTGGCTCATGTAGCTCAGTACTGCCATATTGCTGTCTGCATTATCTAGAGTCAGCATGGTGTAGTGGTTTCAATGGTGGACTACAACTCTAGAGACCAGGGTTCGGATCCCGGCTTGGCCATGGAAACCCTCTGGGTGACCTTGGGCAAGTCATGATCTCTCAGTGGATGGCAATGGCAAACCTCCTCTGAAGAAAACTGTCAAGAAAAACCCACTTTAAAAACCCACCCTAAACCTCACTTTAGGGTAGCCATAAGTCAGAAATGCCTTGAAAGCATGCATACAACAAAAGCAACAGCAACAGCAACAATAGTTATTATCTGACTGGCAATATGTACATATGCACGTAAGTATGAATTTCTTGAAATATCTATATCCTGTCCTGCATTGAAGATCTTAGGGTGCCATACAATGAAACCAATTCAGCACAATGAATAACAACAACAATGATTTTAAAAGGATAAGAATATATTAAATCATTTAATGGCTCAAAACCAGTTAATTAAAAACCATTTAAAATAACACCAACCGTAGCATATGTGCAAATCGGATAAAATCAACTAGGCCCCTTTGATAAAAAGCCACGATTCTTTCGTGGAAAGAGGATTATTTCCTAGCAGTACCTGGCAATCACTGATATTTTCCCCTGGTCTTCTGCCACCCAAATACTAACCAGACTTAAATCTGCTTAGCGTTTCAAATCAGACAAGATCAGGAGGTGTGTTTGAGTTATACTCTTTTAACATATGGTTGGGTTACCATACACCCTCTTTTCTCCAGATATGTCCTCTTCTGCCTGGATTTTTAAAATGTCTACCTCTGCTTTGCATCTGTCCATTGATGACAACTCCATATTGCTGTCTCCATCAAGAACTGTGCTAGGAGACAGGACAGAAAATGTCCCAATGGAGAGCGCAGAGAAATCTACTGGGTGACCTTGGGCAAATCACACACTTTCAGCCTCAGGCGAAGACAATGGCAAACCTCATCTGAATAAATCTTTTCAAGAAAAACCCCACTATAGGACTGAAAGAGAAAGATAGGGATGGCAAATCAGGTTTGAAGTAAAGAGAAAGGAGACAGACCCAAAGACAGAAGGTGACCAAGCCAGCTGAGTGAGACAGGTAAAGAAGCCTTCGGACATGTGTGGATGATGGAACAGGATGGTTTGTTGGAACAAGTGAGGCAGATGTCAAAAGAGGCAGGGAAGGAGGAAAGGGAAGGGGAATAAAGTGAAGGTTAGGAATATTTCTAGTAGCAATTATCATAGTTTGTATAGTGTGTGTGTTGTGTGCCTTCAAGTTGTTTCCGACTTCTGTAGACCTAAGGCAATCCTATAGTGGGGTTTTCTTGGCAAGACTTATTCAGATGAGGTTTGCCATTGTCTTCCTCTGAGGCTGAAAGAGTGTGACTTGCCCATGGTCACCCTGTGGATTTTAAGGCCGAGATGGGAATCAAACTCTGGTCTCCAGAATCATAGTTTATATAGTTGTTGTGTGCCTTCAAGTCATTTCTGACATGGTGACCCTATGGCAAAACTACCACAGGGTTTTCTTGGCAGGTTTCTTCAGAGGGGGGTTGTCATTGGCAGCCTCTGAGGCTAAGAGAGTGTGACTTGCCTAAGGTCATCCAGTGGGTTTCCATGGATGAGCTGAGATTCAAACCCTGGTCTTCAGAGTCCTAGTCTGACACTTAAACCACTACACCACACTGGCTCTCCTACATAGTTAAAGTGAGAGCCATCATAGTGAGTTATGGTGCTGGGTGTTATCAGTACGCTGATGACACTCAAATCT